CGCCGCTATCGAAATTATTTTTGTTACACTTATACAACAACATATTTCTTTGTAGTGGAGTATCGTTAAGTAAGTAGGTATAACAGGCGCAACAAATGCCTCGTAAACAACAAAACATAATATTGCGCTTATTGTACAAGTGTCCCAAGATAATATTCACGTTTGTGGTTTAATTTTACGCTTTGGATTTTAGTTTACAATAATTACGAGCTCAGCGTTAAAATCAAAAGAGCCGCCATGAGTTTGTTTGAATGAGTTTATGAACGCAACCCGACCGATGCGATGCCTGCGACGCAAACGGGGTGGGGTCACGGGACGGGGAGTCCCCGACAGTCCGACTTTAAGGAACGAGAGAGCCAAAAACAATTGATTGAACAGTCATTTAATCGAAAGTGTGGGCAAGGTGCGCATTATTTTTTTATAATAAGGAGAAGATCTAGCACTAAAAACAATAAATAGTTTGTGTGTTACTGATTGTTTTAAAGTGTTTCCACGATGAGTGATAGTAATCAAGATAAAAGAAAGAAATTATCTGGTTACCAGAATTTAATAAGGAAAAGAAAACAAGAGGAAGAAGAACGTGATAAAAATACAACTAAAATAAGTTAATATCTTCCAAAGAATCATTAGAGACAGAAACCAGTCATTTTATCGATGAAGGTGTTGTAGAATATGATTCAAAAAACGCTTCATGTAGTGGTATGTGCTTTATGTAATTTCTATACAAATAAATATAACTTTAGTCTGTTTGTGATGTCAAGATAAAAAAAAACACTTTTCTTTTTTAAGTCCTGTCAGTCTTTTTCTTAATCGTCGAAAGGCCTCACCGATTTTGATGTGATAGATGCCGTACTGTTTTATTTTATACAACTAATCGCTGCTGGAAATCATGGGTTGGATTCCCACAAGGTGCTTTAAAAAAACTTTGTGTTTGTGTGTATGTAATATGTATTTATGTTAGAAATAAGTATATTAGTAGTATTTCAAATTTAAATTTAAAATGCTATAAATCACATTTGCTCGTCAGTTGTCTAGTACCCATAATTACAAGCCCTGCTTAGTTTGGGACTAAACGGCGGAGTTTAATTGTCGAGAAATATTGATTTATTTATTTATTTAATTTATATTTATTATACATAATTATTCATAGATAGATAAATCAGTTTATTCAGACAAGTAGATTAGATATGTACGAGCAATATTATGTTTTCGTTTGTCTGTCTTTAATTTCAGATGATGTCGCCGAAGTTTGCCTCTCTGATACTGCTGATACACCATTGTCACCGCCAAGACAATTACCATCACTAATACCAACTTTTTCCAAAGATGACCCTGGACTCTGGCCAGAAGTTTTAAATGCTACTTTGATCCAGTATCTAACAGAAAATCCGATTAAACAAATTAAACAGTATAATTTTCCGCGTGACTCTTCGGGGCGAAAATTTTCCGATTATTATGAAAGGCATTTAGAAAACGGTGAAAAGTATCACAGAGAGTGGCTGCGGTATTCAGTGTCCAAAAATGCTGTTTATTGCTTCTGTTGCCAGCTATTTGAATCAAAACATAAAAATAAATTCTGCGAGGGCGTTAGTGATTGGCAACATCTTGCTTTGTATTGCAGCAGACATGAGAAAAGTTCTGCTCATTTCAATAATTATAAAAAATGGACAGATTTATGTCACGCTCTTAAAAATAAAAACACTATTGATAGTATACAACAAAAACTTTTAGAGGTTAAAAAATAGCGATGGTACGATGTAATCAAAAGAATAATATATGTGGTCCAATTTCTAAGTACCCAAAATATGGCTTTTCGTGGCCAAAGCAACAAATTATACAATCGTAACAATGGTAATTTTTTAAAATGTATTGAAATGTTAGGAAAATTCGATCTTTTAATGACTGAACATACGATGCGTAACGAATGATTCGGATTTCAAAAATATACCGACTTATTTTGGAGATAAAATCTAAATTGAAATCATTTACATACTCGGTAACCAAATTCAACAATTTATTATAAATTTATGTAAAATTAATAAATATTTTTCAATAATACTTACTGGATTGTACTCCTGACGTTTCACACGTAGAGCAAATTAGTATTATAATAAGATTTGTCAATTTTAACACAGAAACTAGAAAGTTGGAAATAAGGGAGCATTTCCTAGCCTTCTGTCCATTTATCGATACAACTGGCGCTGGATTAACATAATTCATAATAGAAAAACTAGACAAAATTAATTTGGACATAAACAACTTAAGGAGACAGGGCTATGATAATGGATCAAATATGCTCGGTAAGAATAATGATCTTCAAAAAGGATTGCTGGGTCTAAATCCCCACGTTTTCTGTGTACCATGCGCTAGCCATAGTTTAAATTTGATCTCAATCATCATACGACTGGATTTTTTTAGTATTGTGCAAGAATTATATAAATATTTTTCGTCCTCTACCAAAAGATGGGACTTATTTAAAAAATATGTCATAAATCTGACCTTAACCATTGTCTGAAACAAGATGGTCAAGCAGAATAGATGCTATCAAACCGCTGTTTACAAATTTACCAGAAATTTATGATGCATTATATGAAACATCAAATGGTGTATCATATGATCAGGCAAAATATGACGCTAAATGTATAGCAGAAAAAATATGCTCCTTTTTTCATTCATTTGTTCACTAAATATATGGCATATAATATTGACAAAAGTAAATTTTGTGAGCAAAATTCTGCAGTCCATCGATATGAATATGCAAGTTGCTTTTGATGATTTAACGGAATTAAAGAAGTTTTTCATAAAAATTAGAACCGACGCAAATTTTGAAGAAATTGTAAATGATGCCATGAAAATTGCCGAAAAATTAGATGTCGAGGCTGAATTTGAAACTTCCAGATCCAGACCTCTAAGACGTCGTAAGACTCCAAAGAGTTTTGATTATGAACACGAAGACCACACTATAAATGATCCGAAAATCGCTTCTAAAATTAATGTATTTTTTTATATATTGGATCAAGCTTTATCCTCTGTGTTTAATTTTTTATTTAAAGTAAGTGATTACCAAGAACAAAGTCAATTAAGAATAAGCAGTCATCGTTTGCAGGAAAAACCTACAGCAAATGATTCATTGGACATTAACGCCGATGATTTGTGTGAAGAAATTATGTCATGTCAGTCTTTTTTCAAAAAATTAAATAATGATGTGGCGAAAATTCTCGAATTTATATATTTAAACAATTTGACAACTGTATGCCCTAACATTACAATAGCATTACGAATTTTGCTAACTATGCCAGTTACCGTAGCAAGCGTGGAAAGGTCCTTTTCTAAATTAAAACTAATAAAAAATTACCTGCGCTCAACAATGAGCCAGGAAAGATTAACAAATTTAGCAACAATATCCATAGAGACCATATTAGATCATATAGACATACACGAAACTATTAAATATTTCGCAAACAAAAAAGCTAGAAGAGATGTTTATTTATATTCTTACACATTTTAGACTCTTGTTGTTTTTTTAACATAGCTTACGTAATAGTTAAATTAGTATTATTAGAAAAAAGTCAGTTATTTTGTTATTAATATAAGATTAGGTAGAACATCATAAATAAAGTATGTAAAAATTTAATTCGGGTTTTATTTTTCGCAGTAATATAAAACTAGAGAACATTTATTTCGGTCAAAATTTACAAATAAGAAATAAAAATAAGTTGAAACATTAAGATTCGTGAAAAAAAGAGACGCTTCATAGGTTTCGCACACAGGCGCTGTGGGGGGTCGGCGCGGCCCTACGTTCAACCCGTAGGAATCCGATGTCTCGACATATATCGAACTATTAGAAAAGTTGATTTTGTACAATGTCGTGGAAACAGACAAAAAAGTTCCATTATTTTTAACACTAATAGAAGGAGAGACCTACAGAGTTTTGAAGAATATCCTAGCACCGGCGTCTGTAGCTAGCAAGTCTTAAGAAGAGCTTAAGGACGTCTTGCGTGAACACTACTGTCCGAAGCGCTACGAAAATGCAGAAAGGTATAATTTTTATAACAGAAGTCAAGAAAATTCAGAGAATGTTAAAGAAAATTCAGAAACATTAAGGAAATTATCAGTGCATTGTCAGTTTGGCGCTTTTCTAAATGAAGCCTTACGTGACCAATTTGTATGTGGATATTACTTTCTGAGACCACAAGACGTAGGCTACTTACAGAAAAAAAATTACATATTAAAAATGAGGACAGTCTAAATGTAAATTTTTAACTATGGAAATAGATTAAGTAGCTTGGAGATCAGTTAACCATGAAAAATATTATAATGATTTATTTTATAATATTGCTTTACAACCTGTCAAATTTAAGTTAAAAGTTGTAACGGGGGAAAATGTATCAATTGTTGGTCAAATTGTAGTAGATGTAAAATATAAAGATGAAAAATACACACTACCTTTAGTAGTATTGCGTAGTAATAATATATTCACCCCACTATTAGGTCGAAATTGGCTGACAGCATTAAAACCAAACTGGAAAAGTTATTTATTGGATACTAATTGTTGTTCCGATTGGCGTAGCTGAGGTTACCAAGTTGCTTGTCTACAATTACAGATTTCATAATAATTATCTAAATGGGTCCAAGGTCCAGGAGGCTGTTTAAACTAATTAACTGTGGAGCTTGGTTCTCTTTTGACATCAGTCATGTGTATGACTTTTAGGTGTTTGTTTATGGGTAAAGAAACTGTTTACTATGTTTGGTTATATTTTTTAATAAAAATATGAGTAAGAAGTGCAACCATAGTGAGATTAGCTTTAGCAAACTCAAAAATTTCCGCTGAAGAAAATAATGAGAAAAATATTGACAGTGTAAGTATTTTTATAAAAAGATGAGGTTAGGAAGGGATTTTAACTTCATAATTTTAATACTATGATTTTAATGGAATATCTGTTGGTATCCAAAATCCAGAGCCTTTTTCTAAAGATGCAGAAACGTTAGAGAAAGTCAAAATGGCAGTAGATAATGATAACAGCAATGAAAATAATTTGATGGGTGCCTCTTCGTCAAAAGAATCTGTAAGTAATTACTTAGTAGTTAGTAGTACTCGTAGATGATATTTTTGCATGAAAAAAAAAAATCCGGCCAAGTAAGCATCTGTTGAAGTTGAATTTGATGTTTTGAATTAAAACTTTGTTAAAGAGCTTCGGAAATTGCTAGGTCGATATGTTTTTTTTTTGACTTATAAGTTTAATGACGCGTAGTTGGGTGATATATTTTTTATTTTTACTTATCTTACATGAATACATCATTTTAGGACAATGAAAGGGACCTTGATAATTTTACTGACTTTAAGGATTCTGGAAGTGAATATGATCCCAGCACTGCTATTGCTGAAAGTACAGGTTCTAGTTCAGACAGCATTTTGGAGCAAATTGAAGATGAAAATTTAGAGCAAACACAAAGAACAGAAAGGAAGGGCAGGTCTAAAAAAGGAAGAAATGAGAAATATCCTGGACAGACGTTTAGCAACAGGAAAAAATTAAAAGATTCAAATAAGAAACACTACAGTATTAAAGGAAAACTAATCAAACCTAAGATTTTTATAGACTTTTTGTCCAATTCTACACTAAAATGTAACGAAAGTATATCGCAAGAAAACCGAAAATAGGTTTTTGAAAACTTTTGGGATTTAGCCAGTTACAATGCCCAAACAGCCTACATAGCAGCCACAGTTAGACAGCAAGGCAAAAAAATAAAACGAAACAAACAGAGCACTAGAAGGCAATATACAAGAGTTTATGAAATCAGTAACATTAAAGTCTGCAGAGACATGTATATTAAAACTCTACATAGTTCACCAAAAAGGGTTAACACAGCTTTAAAAAAAATAAGAACAGGTTCAGTTAGAGATGAAAGAGGTTTTATGCAAGGGGGACATAATAAATTAAGTGAAGAAACAAAAAATAAAGTAATACATCAGATATCCAAGTTTCCGACATATATTTCTCATTACACAAGAAATGAGAGTGACGCAAAATATTTGGCACCTGCTCTTACACTGAGAAAAATGTATTATTTATACACAGAAGACGAACTAAATCATAAACTGGGATTCTCCTCGTACAAAACAATATTCTATGAAAACTTTAATTTAAGTCGCAAAGTCCCAGTTAAAGACACATGCAATGCATGTGATGGATTTAATGCTAAAATTAAAAATTATCAACACGATGCTAAACTTAAAGAGGAGCAGGAATTAAAACACACACAGCATTTGCAAAAAGCAAAGGAAGCAAGAGAATCAACGAAGGCTGACATGGAATTGACAAAAATTAACGTAAAACTGGAGACCGCAACCTATGATATGGAAAAAGGGTTGCGGGTCGGGGAGCTCAAGAGGTAGGATCTTGTCTTAAAAAGTTTATAGACATATATTTGAGTCCAGAAACAGAGGAATTGATATTATGGTCTGACTTCTGTGGGGGGCAAAACCGAAATATCAAGATTGTAGTGTTACTGAAAGCCATCTTAGAAGTCTATCCTTCACTTAAAATAATCTGCCTCAAGTATTTGGTACCTGGTCAGTTTTTTACCTAACGACGAGAAATCGAGAGGTCTCTCAAGTACCAAATACATCTCTACACTTTGGATGAGTTTAAAAGGGTTATACAGCAGTATTCACAAAAGAAAAAAATTGTTGTTGTTGAAATGGGAAAGGAGGATTTTCTCGGGACTTCATAACTTGAAAAATGAATAACTAATAGGAAAACCGATATTAACGGAAATAAAATTGGCTGGCTCGAAACTCAAGTTATAAAACTCAGCAAAGAATGTCCTTTTTCCATGTTCATAAAATACACTCACCATGTTAATGAAGAGTTTAGGGAAATAAATATCAAGAAAATATCTAAAGGTCGTCCAAATACTCAAAGCAATTTTTTCTCACAGCTATTTGAACTATACCCAGATGCTAAAGTAATTTCTACAAAAAAATTGGCAGATATTAAAAGTTTGATGGCTTTAATTCCCAGCGATGTAAAAGACTTTTACAAAAACTTAAATGCAGCTGATTTCGAAGATGACGTAGATGGTTTCGGTGAAAATATAGATTTTTACCAGAAATAGATGACGATGAAGAGAAATGATGGAGAGAAAAGTTACTGTTCATTGGTAAATTATTTAGGAGTTTAACTTTTATTTTGTATTAAACTACTATCAGTTTTGGTTGAAGCTGAAATAAAAGTAGTTTGTCACACAGTCGTTTCTAAAGTAAATATTTTTTACTTTTCCTGTGCAGTTTTATTTTTTTCCCAAGTTATAAATAAGACGTTGACTTAAAAACATAAAGCAAACACGGCTAGAGTTTACCCGTGCATCATGAATTGTATCCATTGTGATCTATAAAAACCAAATGGACCTAATTGATAACGCACCGGTAAACTCTGGCCGCTTTCGCTTACCAATGGAGTCAGACGACATTAGATATTTGTCAAAAAGCATCCAAAGACTGTCTAAAGAGATCCATGTATTAAATGTTTAATTTATCAAAAAGGAACTAAGCGCCAATTTTGCCTGTAATACAAGGTTATAACATGAAAATTACAAAAAAAACGAAGTTTTTGAGTTAACATGTTCTTTGTATTAAAACGCCTACACAAGATACGTACACTCACAAGTGGATTTTACATGCTTCAAAAACGTTCAACTCAATTTACTCAGTTTTCACAAATGGCTGTTGGTACCTTTTAGATAAGCGCTATCCAATTTTAAATGGAAATGCGGAAGGTACCAAAAAATACCAGTATTTAAAATTACTGTTTCACTGATTAATTAATTTATCCCAAATTTTATGAAGAAATATATATATTTTACTACTAACAAGAGAAATCACCATTATTTACTTCATTCCTCTAATGAGAAGTAATATTTCTCACCCTAGGTAAATAATGATTATATTTCCTGGAGAATGACATTTAAAATTGAATTCCATTAGTTTCATTTACTTAATTTGACAAATAAGTAGAAAATAATCAAAACTAGGTTTATCAAAATCTAACCAAATATGGTATATATCAGTCTTAGTAGTAAAAAAAATCTATATACAGGGTGTACAAATAAAAACTCTCAGGCCAGAAATAGAGATATTTTAATTCTGTAAAAGCCAGTTCACAGAGTCTAGCCATTTTTGATATACAGAGTGGGTCACTTAAAACAGTTTCATCCTGTTTTTCGGCATTAATCATTGGATTTTAAGAAAATGCTTAAACACGTCGATTTTTATTCCAAATTGAACATATTTTAACAATACAGACATCTGTCTTGTATCAACCACCTCCCTTGCACTTCTCCAACACCTTAATTTTAAATAGGTAATATACCATGCACTTCATTGATTGATTCAGAAATATGTCTGTACATTGCGTTAATTAAATTTTTGCGCCCTCTAGCGGGATAAAAAATTATTACGTATCATAAAGAGTGACACTACCATGTGTAGTACATCATTAGAAAAGTAATTTAATGAGGAATTCAGAAATAAGACTATTCATTGCCATTGCCAAAAACTGTTCGTATTATAAAGTGTGCTACCTTATTTGAAAGCAAATTTAATTACTAATTCGATGTACCACATAACATGTGCCAAAATTGGTCATGTAATATTTTAAACATTATGGCTAACTTTATTTTGTTGCAAGTGCAATATGGAAATATTGTAATTATTATATGGTGCAATGAATTAGTTAATAAATTAGGTTTCAAATGATGTGTCACATTTTATAATACGTTACAGGTTTCTTTATTCCGATAGAGGGCGCTAAAATTAAAAATATCGCAATAGTCATATTTCTGACTTCTCCATAAAATTACCTTATCAATGATGTATCATATATGGTACATTCCCTTTTAAAATCCAATGATTAATGCCAAAAAATAGGATGAAACTGTTTTGAGTAACCCACTCTGTATATCAAAAATGGCTAGATTTATCGAATTAGTTTATAGATCAGAATGTGCTTAAAAATGTATTTTTACAAGATGCGCTATATAAGAAAAAATTATTTATATTTAAAATTGAAGCTCTCTTAATGCTCTATGAACTGGAATTTACAGAATTAATATATCTCTATTACTTACTAAAATATCTGGCCTGAGAGATTTTATTGGTACACCCTGTATACTCGTACTTCGTCTCTACGTCCCTCAAGACATAAAGTGTATAATGTACTATTATTAATTTTTTTTATAATTTTTATTTTTCAGTTTCATTAGTACATGTCGTCGAAGGAGTTACTTTCAAATATGATGAGCCTTCAAATGTGCAATTTGAGGAAGGTAAATTATTTGTGTATTAATTTGATATGGTTCTATGTAATTATATTGTATAATTTTAGTTGAAAACTTCGACGAAGAAGGGACAAGTAAATCTGTTTTAAACAAAAATGTATTGACAGGTATATACATCCTATCATACTAACATATAAATTGTAAAAGTTTGGATGTATGGATGGATGAATGGATGTTTGTTGTTCAATTACGCCAGAACGGCTAAACGGATCTGGATGAAACTTGACATAGAGATAGATTATAGTCTGGAATAGTACATAAGCAGCTTTTTCCCAAAATAATAAATGATGCACGTGGGATAAATGTGTTTTTTTTCACAGAGCAAGAGATCAGACATGATTTTTTGCATAGTTGTAGTGAAACATGAAAATTTGAAATATAGCAATTAAGAATAAATAAATATGACGTGTTTAAGGGTTTTTGAATTTTACAAAAATAAATAAAAATTATTAAAAAAATAATAAAAAAATTATAAAAAATTAAAACTGTTATTCACGTTTAATAATTGAAAACGATTATTGAGAATGAGTTTAAAATTTTACAATTGCATTATGATGCATGGCTCATGATACCTTCATATTTTATGAATAGCAGTTATTAATCAAAAATTGAAAATCAGAACTACCTATCACAAACAAAAAATATAACATATTTGAAGTATATTAGGCTATGAAAATCATTTTTGAAAAATGTGACAAGACGCCTTTAGCCACTTGTGTCTTCAATTGACGTTTTAAAATTTCAAGCCAAGCGGTTTGGTCAGCTAGTAAAGATAAATGAGGTTAAAAAATGTCGACAAAGCCGTTGTTTTTTAAAACTTAATAATATTTGCAAACATTGTTTCGACTTACGAAATTATTTTGAAAGTAGCAAAACTAAGCAAATAGTTTCATATTTTAAGCTTTAAAATGGTTTTAAGTCGAAATTATCATTGCAAATATAATCAAAAATAAGTAGTTGAAATCGACGTCTACAATGAATTTTTTTACTTTAATATATTTTTTATTTTAGATACATCAGCTACCCCCAAAAAAACTAAAAATAAAGAAACAAATATTCTTAACATATTAACACAGGTTATGTTGCAGCGAATTGAGAGAGAGAGAGAGAGAGAGAGAGAGAGAGAGAGAGAGAGAGAGAGAGAGAGAGAGAGAAGAAGCAAATAAAGGGGCTGCATAAGGTACGCCTAGAGGAGGCAAACTTAAAAAAGAGGCTGCTAGACTGGTATAGTATAGTTGAGTATATCCATGGACACACTGTATATGAACAAAGAACTTGTAACATTTATAACTATGAATGTACCTTATTCTCATGTAATATTTTTTATATTTTTAGGTGCAAGCATTTCTCAGAAATTCGCCATTATTTCATTCTTTACGACAAAAATGTGATTCAGCTTATCTCTGTTTTAGGGAGGTACTGACACAATATAGGAATTGTGGAAATTTGACAGAAATTCAAAAAAACTACAACAAAAAATTAAGAGTAGAGTGCTCATAGAGCATACCTTTGATACTTTAAGCTATATCACCTAAAGCTGAGAAACATTGAAAGTGTGTGTCATTTCATATGAGCATGTGTTCTTTACATTTTGAGTATGGGGTCTGAAGAAGAGGACATATCGTCGATCCAATGCCAAAGTCACGAATGTGCCAATTTGTCCATATTCGCCTATGTACGGCAGCATATGCAATTTTATTCATATAATTTAATGCCAGAAGCACGAAAATGCTTGCTTATCCCTTCTCCCGCTACCAGCCGAGACACATTCCACGAGAGCGTCAGTTATTTATTTGCTACCATACTAAAAACACGAATGTAACACGTTCGTGCTTTTGCCGTTGCAAATTATTTTACTTTTTAAGATTCAAATTAACGAATGTGCCATATTCGTTGTATTGGCAGTGTCAATAACTGTCATTCGTTTATTAGTTATTTTAGTGATCTTGGTAAAAGATGAGTTCAAGAATAGAAAGAATAATGAAAAATTGTCGAAAATTACAAGCTCCAAGGTAAGAAAATATTTGCAAAATAAAAAGAAATTAATCGCTTAATCCCTACTTTTCATACAAAGCCATATTTTTTTTGCATGCCAAAATAATTATTTTAGTTTATTTGTTACATTGAGTACCCACTAAATTGAGATTTGTTTTGCTGTGTGCAAACCGTCTGACCTTATATTTTGCTTAATAAATAATAAAACATCATAAACCCGTTGGCTATGTTTTCTATTACTTTCTTTTTCGATTTTCAGATGGTACTGTGCTTAAAGAATTGCCTGTGAGAAACACTATCGAGAATCTAGATTTGCAGCAACAGTGCACTGCAGTACAAAATTTAGAAGGTAAGAAAAATCTATCTATTTCTACATACAATTTTCCACTTATTGCCTGCAAAAAAAAAATAAAAACCTTAACCTATGCCATGGCTCGCTAGCCTTCTATTTAGTTTTGCTCTATGCATCAAGTTTTCCTTTTGCTTATGCTTTTCACTTTTACATAAAAAAAATAAAAGAAAATACGTTTTTAATGTTTTCTAGGCTACGAACATTTTACTTTTAACACTAGTGCCTTAAAGTAGATATTTTAAAGCACTAGTGTCTTAAAGTAATATATTTAAGGCTAGTAGACAGTATAAAAAGTTCCATCTTTAACACATTTGCAGAAAAAAATATTTTTTTAGGCGACATGTCCAACTACGAGCCAGTGAGAAACAACACGGGTTTACAGCAAACATGCAGTGACATTGACCAGCAACCGTCAACATCTCGTCTGATTGACCAACCTAACAATTTGCCCCCAGCTTTACCACGAACACTAGAAGAAGATTTGAATGTTTCTAGTTCATCTTCGGATCTATATGAACCTTCAGGTTCGTCACCTTCAGGTTCATCAGACACAGAAAATGAGAGCCCATTGGAAAGTGACCTCGAGGGTCTTGCGAACCAAAAACGGGCATCTACCAAGAAAAAAAAAAGAAGAGACGAAAAGACTTGGAAGAAAAACGTTAGAAAGCTCAAGAGACTAAAAGGTGAGTCTTACATTGGTCATAGGGAATCGAGAAACCTTCACGTCCACTTTTGCCGGTACCTTGTCTCAATAAGCCAAAACATAAATGTGCAACTTTAGTTACGGAGCCCCACCGAATCAAGATTTATAACGATTTTCGCAATTTAAGCTGCACTGACGATCAACGTCAATTTTTACACAATCACATTGAAAAAAACCCAAAAAAACGGACAACAAGAGGTATCGAAAATTCCAGAAAAAATTACACCCGTACGTATAGTCTCACGGTTAATGGAAATAAATTTACAGTGTGTAGAGAATTTTTTATGGCTACCTTAAATGTTACAGATGCCTTTATGCGAAGTGCCGCAAATAAGCGCTCATCTAACGGAGTTTTAGAAAAAGCTAAACGAGGGAAACACCAACCATCAAATAAATTATCACAGAATGTTGAAAAATTTATTCGAAACCATATTCTCTCGTTTTCAGCGGTAGAATCCCATTATTGTCGGCAATCCAGTACAAAGAAGTACCTTGACGCATGCCTTAATATATCAATAATGTACAGGGTGTACAAAGAGTTGTGCAAAATTGAAAATGTCCAAATTGTTACATTTGAAAAATATCGCCAGATATTCTCTGAATACAACTTAGGCTTCTTCAAGCCGAAAAAAGATCAATGCAAAAAATGTTTGGCGTACAAGGGTATGTCTGAAGAAGAGAAAAAAGCAGAAGAAGAAGCTTATCAAAAACATGTGAAGAGAAAAAACAAAGCTAGGCAAGCCCGCGATGAAGACAAGTTAATAGCGAAAGAGAATCCTAAGGTTTTGGCATTTAATTTCGATTTACAGGCGGTCTTAACAACGCCAAAAGGTTCCGCGGGACAAATATTTTATTTGAGAAAACTGGCTGTGTTTAATTTCACCATTTACAATTTAGGCAACCAAAATGTTATGTGCTACCTTTGGGACGAAACAAAAGGAAAAAGATGGGCAAATGAAATTTCATCCTGTGTATATGATTTTATTATGAGCCATTCTGAGATAGAAGAGGTCCGTATGATGTCTGACGGCTGTGGAGGACAGCAAAAAAATTCAATATTTGCAACCATGTGCATCCATCTGCTTGTGGAACATCCATCATTAAAAGTAATTAATCATCGGTTTTTCGAAACAGGGCACACTGAGATGGAGTGCGACTCCATCCATTCAAAGATAGAAAAAAAAGCAAAATTTGTACCCGTTTATACCCCAGAGGGATGGGCGCAACTTATAAGAGATGCACGTGTTACTCCACGTCCTTTTGCTGTAAAGTCTTTGACGTTTGATGACTTCTTTGATTTTAAAAAGTTTTCAAATAATAATTACATCAATTTCAATAACATTCCCTGGAGAAAGATTTGCTCCCTTCGATACGTTAAAGAGAATAGTTCCATAAAAGTTTTTTACAAAATAGACTTTACCGATGTTTTTATTGAAGTAGACTGCAAAAAAACTCGAGGACGTCCAAAACAAGCGGACTTAAAAAATGCCTATCAAAATGACTTGCCCATCAGCGAGGCAAAGTGGAAAGATCTCGACAAAATGTGTAAGGATTTAAAAATCCCAAAAGCGTATCACGATTTTTACCATTCCTTAAAAACAAACCACAATGTGAGGGACAATTTACCGGAACCCCATATTAGTGAAGGATCCGATACTGATGAAGATTAAACCTTATTTAAGATTTTTCTGTACCAAAGTTTGTTGTTTTTAGTTGTTTATTCCAATAATGATGAATATCTAACGTTCTTTTATTTTTTTGCAGAGAAATTTGTTGTTTTCTTTTTTTAATCAATTTAGGTTTTTTTCTAAAGGAATTTGATGTTTGTCTATTTTGTTTTTTAAAATGTTAAGTTACATTCTAAATAAAAATATGGTTAGTTTTTTCTAATATTTTGGTTTTATTTGTTTTAACGAAACATAATATATCTAAAACTTTGCAACGCCAAAACAACGAATGTACATTTTTTTGAAAAAAATTACAAAAACTTTCAATAATGATTAAGTACCACAGAATAAAATCTCTATTTTTAGCTGTGTCTTCAATTTTTTAATTGCGTTTTTCTCAAAACATCGAAAATGCACATTCGTGACTTTGGCATTGGACCGACGATATTGCAATAGTGGAAAATAATGAGAATATGGAAGGCGATGAGGTTGGATTTAATTTTAGAAAGTATATTGCCAGCGTATTGTACGATGGATAATAATTAAACAGTTTTACACCTATCCATTTTGTTTCATTTATAGTAATGCCTGTATTTAATAATATAGTAACTACTCAACGTTTTAAACATTATCAAAATTCATGGTGAATGTATATATAAAGAACCAGAAGGGTAGTCGTTGCTGACTAGTTAGAAAACCAACCAATTATTGGGAAATTCAGCAAATAATATGTTAAAGAAAACTTTTTTTACTTCATCCAATCTTTCGGAAATTTATTTAATCATTTCCATCAACAGGATAGACTACAAAATAATGTTGGAAAATAGTTACCAAATTAAACTAAAGTTACTACTTAAAATAAGTTGAGATTTTTCACTACATGTTGTATTAAATTGGTATATATTTTTCATAAAAAAAGTTAATTTAATTTCTATATTAAAAATTAAAATTACTAAGATTAAAGTTATTTCTTTTCCAATTCCAATACACTCCGTTGTTAAATTTATGAAGTTTTTGTCAACTATTTGAATTTGTCAAAAAGTGGCATTTTACTCATAAATATTGTAAAAGATTTGAATAAAAGAAAAAAACAGTTCTTTTAAAAAAAAATTAATTAAAAAGTTCTATGTGGGCGCGCGCGCGCGCGCGTTGGTGCGCTCATCCTTAGGAGGACGTGCATCGACATATAGTTAACCTTATATGGACGTTCATGAATTGTGGGGACATTTCCGTGTCCGCTTAAGGTTTTTTCTATTGTATTCGACTCGTCTCGTCGCGCTGATTCGAACGGTACCTAGTTTATCGTAAAGTCCCCATAGAATCGGAAATCGTAAGTGTTAAATTAGGTGTTAAAGAACCATTCTCTTAGAATCACTAGTAGGCCACTATATATCTTTGCTTAGTGCTGCCATCTATAACGCTACGTCGTATATTTTTAAACCACCTTCTGGGGACACTGCAAAATATTAAATCTTTTATAAATAGCTTTGCTTTAGACAAGGTCAATAACTGTGTTCATTTTGTATTTGTGTATAAATAACGCAATAAAATCTATATGAAACTTTATTCTCTTTTGACAGATTCTTTTTATAATTCATAAAAAGACAACTATCATAACAACAACGATAAAACAAAACATACATAGGTTGTGGGTTCGGCTCCATGTTCTATGTCAAGTGTGACAACTCGCACTCTTTGAACGCGTTAAATAATTAATTCCCTGGTATCAATCTCAGCCTAGTCATATTCTTTCAAAGACATACACATTTCTTCCCTCTGTTAAAAATTAAAGCGTATGTAATTAATTGGGCGAGAATCTGGATGGTGGGAATCTCGTCCGGTTTGATCTGCGAGGATTATGTGGAGAGCATAGTAAACGTTGTGGCGCAGGTATCCTTTGTTGTTGTGGGACAATTGGTGTCGCTGGTACAACTGACCTTTGTTGTCTCGGAGTAACTGGAGTAGCTGGTGCCCCAGGAGATGCTGCAGAGGAGGCTATTATAACCGGACTATTTGGAGGTGCTGTGAGCTCATAGAAGTGTCTTCGTTGCGTAGTCTCTAGTTGTTTTGAGTTAGCTTCGCGATCACTAGGCGGTTTTTGATCTGGGGAACATTTAATTTGGTCGATGTGTCTTTTCGCCTTTTTATTGTCTCCATACTGTATCTCGTAATGGATATCTCCTAGGCGGGTAATTACAGTACCTGGAATCCATTTGTCCAATCTTGGGTTGCCAGACAAGAAATAAATGGATTGTCCTGGCTGAAATATTCGGAATGTAGAATCCATTTCGACCCGTTGTTTCTGCATAACTTTGGTGTGCGTGTCTTCTGGTTGAACCAAGTCCAAGCGGGTGCGCAGGTTGCATCCTAGGAAAAGTTGTGCCGGGGATTTGCCTGTGGTGGCGTGTGGGGCTTTGCGATACTGACGGAGAAACTCGTTCAGATTTGTTTGTAAGGTACTCTCTGTTGTTTTCATAACTCGAAGGGCATCCTTTACCGTTTATACATACAGCTCGACTTGTCCATTCGTTGATGGGTGGTACAGAGTAATGATGTGAATTGTGTTCCATTATCAGATACAACGGTAACTGGTACTCAGTACACGGCAAAGATGTCGTCCAAGATATTGACAGTTGCGGTTGCCGTCGTCACCTTAGTAGGCTTCACTTCCAACCACTTGCTGTAGGCGTCTACGATGATCAGAAGCATTTTTCCCGCATAATAAACATGAATCCTTTCCCATGGTGCCTTGTGATACTCCCAGTGGTGTTCTCTAAATTTGGGTGGTGCATATTCATATCTAGCACATTCGATGCAAGACTTGGCGGCACGTTCGATGTCTGCATCGATATCTGGCCAGAAAACAAACGAGCGAGCCAGCCCTTTCATTTTGACGATGCCGATGTGGGCAGCATGCAGATCCAAAATGATAGCGTCCCGTAGTGTTGGCGGTATAACAACTCTGTGCTCAAATAATAAGCAATTTGCCGCAAGCGTATAGTTAGCTTCAGGAGCTTTAAATCCATGGCGAACAAGGTCCTGTCCCGATTCCAATACTTTGGTGATGTTACCAAGATGTTGATCTCTCCGAGTAGAGGATAAATGGGGGACCAAAGGGATGCATTGCAATGGGGAATCAAAAGGATGCGATGCATTGCGATGGGGAATCAAAAGGATGCGATTGTATTGCGATGGGGAATCAAAATGATGCGATTGCATTGCGATAGGGGATCAAAAGGATGCGATTGCATTGCGATGGGGAATCAAAAGGATGCGATTGTATTGCGATGGGGAATCAAAAGGATGCGATTGTATTGCGATGGGGAATCAAAAGGATGCGATTGTATTGCGATGGGGGATCAAAAGGATGCGATTGTATTGCGATGGGGATCAAAAGGATGCGATTTGGAATCAAAAGAATGTGATGGTGGATCAAAAAGAAGTGATGGGGGATCATAGAAAAGCGATGGAGAATCAAAAAGCGATGGGGGAGGTAATGATCAAGGAAAATGACTGAATTAACTGGTTATATGAGAAGGTGTTGTTAAGGCTTAAACAAGTCTGAGAAAGTTTATTCAAATAATTCAAAAACAAACATATGCATATTCTAGTTTAATTGTTACAATAAGTTTATTACATATATCATTAACATAATCATTTAAATCAATTTCATCACTTATTACAGCAACCTCATTAAAACCACGGTATTGAGTGTTTTTATCCTCTACACATTTGTCGCAATTATCATTACATTCATTAGGTTTACACAATACATCTTTTTCATGTATTTTGAATACAAGGTTTAAAGATTCATTATATCGTCTCTCAACCTTTGAGTAAATCCTTATTCTTGGAATTGTATTCAATTCGTTTCTCGTATATTCCTTATAGAAATATCCCATACAATCATAAGCTTCTAATACCCCGTCAACTTTAATGTATGCATACAAACCCATTCTGTTTAATAAAATGAGGAAAAAGAAAAACCTACTTTTAAGTGATTATTTATACCCCTACTTGAGCGTATTCAACATCCATACCTACATAACCGGTTATTCTAGCCTTGAAGAAGTTTTAGAACAACCTATACTAATTGGTATAGTGACTTTCGGTGGGGGTTTTCTATTAAAGGAGAATATATTTATTATATTGATCAGTTTGTGTTAAAATGAATCGTGAAATGGTTAAAGATGTATTTCTTGGTGAAGAAAAGTTTTATTTAAATAATTCAAACAGTAAACATGTTACAGTATGTTTGTCTTATATTAATAACCATGTGTTGCGATATCTGGAAACAATAACGATTTAGTAATCTTTAATGAGAAAGAGTGGCAAGACTTTCTCTCTTACAAGAATGTGATAGATGATTTTTTTAAGTCAATAACATTCTATCGACAATGGTAATTTTTTTTGGGAATTTAAGCAGTTTTTCGCAGCAAATGCCATTAGAATATTTACGGGTCATTCCAGCATTTATTTAGGCTCAAGCAGTGTTGCAATGTTATGGAATACGTTACCATTAATAACACATCATTTGGATACATTAAAAGGTCAGCATTTTGCTAGCTCATTAAAAATTCTTCAACTGGGTGTTAAAAACAGTGCTGATGTAGTTAACGATAGTCTCAAGATAATGGAACCTTTAAAGAAAATAAATCCAGTAACTTATGGGATGGCTTTAAAATTAATTTATCTACATCCAGAGATACTTAAAGAAGATTTACAACTATGAAGAAAGTAACTTTTAGAGAGGATCAAAATAAAGCCCATTACTTGATTACCTGGGAATTTGCTTACAGAGAAGCTAGAAGATGTAATATTCTAGATAGAATAAGGTTTGATTATCGTATTCAAGAAACAGCGAAAATTATTAATCCAATTTTAGATGTAAATCATAGAAATAAAATGTATGAAAAAATAAAATATTATAATTAAATAGGTTTTTATTAAGGGAGTGGGAGAGAATGTTTGGAGTGGAGTGGGGGTCTTTGCATGTGGGGGTA